TTCCAACTCTCCTCTTGCTGCTTCCGGTGGGCAATGTGACCTAGCTAGCATTTGATGACATGGTTTTTTTCTTGGTTCTTTGCATGGGGATGCAAGCCTGGAGCTGCCGGGGAGCTTGCCCCAGGGGGACTAAGGAAATAGAGCCAAAAAATGGAGGGAGAAATGGTCCACTGAGTGCTGATTATCTTAAGCACCTAGATCAAACCACACCTGCGTACGGACACAGGAAACACCCTTTTTTGCTTCAACTGCTAAGTTTCTCTTTCATTGTGACAAAAGATGACCATTTCATGATCATCTTTTAACACCTGAATATGTGTCTTCAGGCGCCTCGCTCCCTACCGTGACCCCTCCCTATCCTCAAGGATCTGACAAATACAATTTCTTCAATCACATTTCTAGGCATAATTTCAGCTCCTTCCAGGTTCATCACATACTAACACTGGAAGAGTCTCTGTTGGAGGGCACAAGTTCAGATGGGGAAACTGAGGCTCATTCAAGTGCATACCACATAGAGAGTTCCTAAGATTAGTCACACCTCTGGAGTTGTCTCTGCCTGGGTATCCTCGCACCCAAGAGACAGCCTAGAGGAATGGATCAAAAGTCCTCACAGCCCTGTGACTCCTGCAACTTTTATCACTCTCCCTGAACTTAAATGTCCCATTTTATAGGTTCAGGGACTGAGGCAGCAGGGATAAGGAATGTGTGATACTCCTACTCTCATCTCCTTATCCTGACACACACTCATCACTTCACCTTACAGCTAGGAGAGAAGGAGACTGAGCACTGACAACATTGATTGTGCTCCTGGATCCTGCCGTGCCTGAAGGCCCTAGAACTATCTCTTGGATCTTTCAAGAGCCAACAAATCCTCCTTCAAGATTTATTTCAGGATTTTGTCACTTATAACCAAAAGAGTCCTGATTATATAGCTGTATTCAAATCTCTGAGGAGCCATATGCCATGGGACAAAGGGAACAACTATGCCCAGCCAGCCCCAGAAGTCAGGAAGAAGACCTGTCATAGAAAGTTCAGGCCTTCCATGGTCTTCCCCAGTTATCTAGGTGGGTTGGGAGCCCCCGGAAGCAGTGGGAGGGGAGGCCGGCCATGTGGAGACTTGGTGGAAACCAGCATGCATGGGATGGGCATAAATACCAGGACGAGGTGCCCTTGGGAGAGGGCCTGGTCTTCCGGGAACTGGGGCCATAGATGCCCCAGACCAATGGTTCTCAAAGTGTGGTCTCTGGACCAGCATCAGGGTCACCTGGGAACTTGTTAGAAATGCATCATCTCAGGCTCTGCCTCAGACCTACTGAATCAGAAACTGGGTGTAGGGCCAGCATGCTGTGTTTTCACAAGCATTCCGGGTGATTCTGATGCTGCATAAAGCTTGAGCACCATGGGCTTAGACATTTAGATAAATTAACTTATTCGGTGAGGAGAGGAAAGTATTGACTATTAAGAAGAGATGTGGGGAGCCCAGAGCCCAGCTCTGATCTTTCCTGTTCACAAGTGTCTCAGGGACCTTCAGCAGCTCTGGAAGCTGGTACAGGGTCATCTGCCTCAGGCCCCTTCTGAGCACCCCGTACAGCAGCCTGCCAGGACTGACCCAGAGAGGAGGCAGGGCCCACAGGGCGTGAGTGCAGGCAGAGGTTGACCAGGTGAACTTTAACCCAACATGCTGGGATCATACACTAGTCAGATCCCTGACTGCAGCCCTGTCCCTAACTCAAGTTCAGTAACTGCCTCCAGGTAGTCAGGATAAGGCTGCATTTTGCAGCAGTAACAAACTAATCCAACATCTTAGTGGCTTAACACATGGCACGTTCCTTTCCTGTTCTCACGAAGCCCAGAGCAAGTCGGGACACTTTCCAGGACAACACAGTGTCTCAGCAGACCAGGCTGCTTGGCTCTTGCAGCTCGGCTATCTCAGGACAAGCCTTCAGGGGCACAGAGAACTGCAAAGACACGCACGGACTCTTACCATTTCCACCCACGTCACTCCCGCTTGTAGTCCAGTGGCCAAAACTAGCCTTGTGGTCCCAACTAGCTTTGAGGGGGTTGGGACATACGAGAAGCATGTGGAGAGTTGATGATCGATAGAAATCTCTGCTACTTACCTGTTGGACACCCCCAGCAGCTGCCCACTCTGCCACCGCCCATGGGATTCCTCGTTTCCTCAAAAACACCTACTGAGGATTGACAGAGCCAGGCACTGTGAGCAGCATGGGATGTGGATGGACATAAACAGGACAGACGTGGTCTTAGTCCTTCAGGAGCTGGTGCGTGGCGGGAGGGGTGCTGGAAGATCAGACAGATCCTCCTGAACATTCCCCAGGCCCCCGTTTCTATGCCACCATCCTTCCTGACTCACCAACTAAGTTTAGTCAGCTTTCAACCCTTGACTGAGGCTCAGTTATGCCATCTGTACAATGGGCATAATAAATGAACCGAAGTCATCCAATAATAGTGATAAGAGTGACTCTCAGAGGAACGCCTGGTGGCTCAGTCAGTTAAGTGGCTGCCTTCGGCCCAGGTCGAGTCCCACATCGGGCTCCTTGCTCAGCAGGGAGCCTGCTTCTCCCTCTCTCTCCCTCTGCTTGTGTTCTCTCTGTCAAATAAATAAAATCTTTAAAAAGAAAAGTGACTCTCAGATTGGTGACACCTCACAACCCTGGGCAATGGGGCCGGGATTCAAATGCCATCTGTCTGATTCCCGTCTTCCAGTCCCCTGAGTGGTCGGTCCTTCCTCTTCCTCCCTGGGTGAGCGGCCCCTGCAGAGTCTCCCTCAAACTTTTTTTCTTCCTTTAAAGTAGGCTCCATGCTCAGTGTGGAGCCCAACATGGGGCCTGGAGTCACAATCCTGAGATCAAGACCCGAGCTGAAATCAAGAGCCAGGCACTTAACCAACTGAGCCACCCCGGCGCCCCTAAACCTTTTAAGCTTTCTATAAGAATGAAGATCTGACAGCCCAGCCTCCCTGCCACAGCCAACATTAACCAGGCCCGGCCTCCAGCCAGCCTAGTCCCCTGAAGACAACTTGAGCCAGCCCAGCCTGATCTCCGAGGCATCCTAGGAACTGGCTCCCGGCTCAGGTCATTCCAGGAGGACCAGAGAGGCCCGCCTGCCACCGAGGATGCAGACAGGGCCCGCTCCAAGACCCTCACCTCCCGCCCCCCTTTCTCCAGACTTAGATGTCGTTGAAAAGCTTACCACGGGACCCAGCAAGACCACCCCTGCCACTATTAGAAACCTGATCCCGAGTCGCTGATTAAAACCAGGAGGGGGTTTTAATCAGCCGGGGCCATATGCTATTTAACTGAAGATGAAAGTACCAATGATAAGCATCATCTCGGAAAGGATGTCGTTAAAGGAAGAGCAGAACAGCGAGTGGTATCTTTTATCATTACAGCAGCCCCTCGCCAAGCTCTCGTTAGGGGCCTGGAGGCCCATCTGGGCCCTGTCTCTATTATGCAGCGCTTACGGTTTCATTGTGTCTGAGATGGCTCCCGAGCCCACGCCATGCTCAACTTCTAAATATACAATTAATGCCTATTAATTATAGTTTTCAAACCCGCAAAATGATCCTTCATTAACTTAATCGCCTCTTCTATTTTATCAGGAAATTGTATTCTCGCTTTCCATCATCCTCACATCTGAAGCCCCCCGGGGGCGGGTGGCACATGATGCTTGGCTGACTGGCGAGGGGAAGGCCTGCCTGTCCTCTGGCCATCTCGACACCCCCCTCCCCAGACCACCCTCTGCCACGAGATGGGAAGCCACGGAGCCGGGTCAAGCTGGATCCCAGGTCATATGGAATCGGATTGACATCAATGTGTGTGGGGGTGGGGGATAGAGAGCCTTACCTTCCTCATCTGTAAAATGGACATGACAGAAAGCCTCCCCCCACAAAGTTGCCGTGAGGATTACGTAGGCAGGGCTTTGTCTCCAGGGGGATTTTGACACCGTGGCATCGCAGAGAGCCCAGAGCAAGGAACGGGCTGCATCTTCACCCGAGCTCCGTGCATCCCCGAGCCCGTCTAGACTCTCCTAAAACCCTATTCCAGCTTTCTGTACATTTAAAGCATCTCTACACTTCTCTCCCTCTGTTTCCACAGCTTTATTTTAAGCCCTGTCACCTCATCTCATTTGTGCCTTAGTTTACAGCTAAGCAGGGAAGACAAGTAGGTGTGCTATGAGGGATGTGCGGGGAAGCCTACGAGGGGCATCTGCCCCAGGCTTGGGGGTCAGGGAGGGCTTCCTGGAGGAACTGGTCTCGAAGGAGGCATGGGGCAGGGGCAGCACAGACCCATGGCCCCCTGCTGTTTCGGCATGGCCTTTAGGGATGGTCGCACAAGCAGATTCACCTCACCACCCCACCCCCAGCAGAATCACATCCCATGCTGTGCCCAGTCTTCCTGCAAGGGCCCGGCCGGGCCTTCTCCAGGCCTGCAGGGGCCTGCTTGCAAGCGCACAGCCTGCCAGTGGGCCCTCGTCCTGAGGGCGATGGGGTGGGTTTGAAGTAGGGTCCGAAGGGTGACCTTCTGGGTGGGAAGTGGCAAGGTCAAACTCGTGTTTGCTTTCTGTCTGCACTGTGGGGACTGACAGGAGAAGCGAGGCTGGGAGAGGAGCTGACCAGGCCAGGGGACAGTTGACAGGCTTCTCTGCCCAGCTCGGTGCCACTGGGATGGAGGGCCTAGGTACAGGTGAACTCTCTTTTGGATGGAGAACCAACAAGTCTCAGCGATTGGATGAGGGGTGAGGAAGAAGGAGTTGAGAACCCCCAGGCTTCTGGCTTGGACTACTTGGTGGATTGTATCACCCTTTACTAAGCTTGAAACACGTTTTGGGGTAGGATGGCGACTTTGTTTGAGGGCATGCAGTTGGAGCTCCTTGTTAACAGCCTAGAGACGGTCATCAAGGCCATGGCCGTGGATGAGATCCCAGGAAGTGAGGCCATGGAGAAGAAAGGGGGCCAAGATCAAGACTGCAGCAATGCCGCCATTTTAAACACTTTTTATTTTGTCGATACTTACAGATTCTGCAGAGACAGTACAGAGAGGTCCCACGTACCCAGTTTCAATGCAGCAATTTTTAAAGGAGGATTCGGTAAAGCCTCCTGCTAAATGTGGTCCGGAGGGGCTAGAGAATGTCCAACAGGGCTTGGTGTCAAGAAAGTCATTTCACTGAGGATTCAGTTTGGTTGCAAGAGAAAGTGCTTTAAACAAGTGAAAAGTTGGTTTCTTCCTCGTTGAAGAGTCTAAATGTAGGTGTCCAGGTCTGCAACAGAAGTCCTGTTCCTTGGGGGCACAGGCTTCTTCCAGCCACTCCACCATCTCTAGGGCATTGTCCTTGTCCTCACGGTCCAAAGCGGTGGCTAGAATTCCAGCTATCACATCTGCTTTCCAGGCAGCAGAATGGGAAAGGGGATGGAGGAGAAAAGGGACAATGGGAATAAACAAGCTAGCTTTTAAAAAAGATTCCCAGAGCTGCCATATGACACCTCCTTTTGACTAGAACTTAGTGACGAAATTGAGTTGCGAAAGAGCCTTTATTCTTGAACTCAAAACCAGAGGTTCTATTACCAAGAAGAAAGGGAGAATGCATACAGGGGAACAACAAGCAGCGTGTGCCCAGAATCCAAGAGTGGAGGGAGAATGTGAAAGGAAGAGAATATGGTCACCATCATGAAACACAGCCAAGAAGTCAAGAAAGGTAGCTACTGAAATACCCACTGGGTTTAGGAACAGAAAAGGCAATGGCAACCTGGTGAGGATAATGACAATTGTCCCTCTGACTCCAGAGCCCTTGATCCTGAGTTCTCTACTTTTCCCAGAGGTGGCTTTTGTCAGGTGGTGGGGCAGGAAGACAGAGGTGATGGCCTGGAAGGTGCTGTGTAGAGAGTGGTGGCAATCCAGACCAGGGGCTGCTGTAGAGCAAGCAGGAAGTAGAGACAAAGGCGTGAAAGGACACTGGTGTGTGGGGAAGAACCAAAGGGGACCGTGAGAAGGCCAGGAGTGAGGACAGAGGGAGGTGGCAGTTTTTGTGGCTTCTGAGGTGGGGCACTTCTGGGCCCACAGTGACACCCGGGAGTGGGAGCTGGCTAAAGGAGAGGGAAAAAAGGAGGTCTCTGGGGAGTGGACGGGTGGTTACAAAATGGGGGGGGGTATCCACTTGAGTGCTAAAATCCACCACGATGCTGCCAAGATGTCAGATAAAGGCAGACACTGAGTTCCCTTGGCGCAAACCCAGGTGCCTCCAACGCCACCCCAACCCTTTCACATTCTTACGGCCATTGTGACACCTGCCCCGAACCTTGAATGTTTGCCCGCGGATCCCCAGGACAATGTCCCAATTCCTCTCCTCTTCCTCAAAGGCCCTCCGTGATCGCCCGGCATGGACCAGGAAACCCCAAGGAACGGACGATGCCAGTGCCCTGAATCCCCCATGTAAAGCATTTCTGTGTCTGCCAGTCCATTTCCCAACTGCCAGCACCACCGAGGCTTTGCGGAAGGTCCGTCCGCACACCTGAGCTTGCTCTGCCGGCTAATGGCTGACAGCAATGGGTGGATAAACGCCCCGGCTCCCTGGCTGCGGCCGTGCGTAAGTCTGAGGAGTGTTCTACATGGGCTCCCGGCGTTCCCAGCGGGATTAAGCCCCCACTGTCCACGCTGCTTGGCTTCCCTGTCTCACTTCCTCGGTGCCCTAATGGCACTTCCCAGGATCACTTCGGAAGAAACGATGTGATCTCAAATCTTCACCTCAAGGAGTTTCTCCTGAGAAAAGCCAAGCAGCCGGAGTGCCCATGCTGAGCAACTTCCAACTTTTTGATGTGTCCTCAGAGTAATGAGCAAACTCTCCACGGTGACTGCCCCCCCAGG